GGCAGGGAATCCGGGGATCTCTGGGCACTCTAACCCCCTGGGCAGCAGGGAGCACGGAGGCCCCTTACGGAGATAAATAGCCTCCAGGACGCTCCCCCTCCAACTGGGCTCCACCATTGTGCAGCAGCGGTCTGAGCCAGGCCACGCCCAAAGCAACAGCAGAGATAAACTTCATGGCAACTGGGCAGGAAGCAGAAGCCATGTCTGTGCACAGTTGCTCAGCACAAGCCACTAGAGGTCACTATTCTCCCAGGAGAGGAAGGCCACAAAAGAACAAGAAGGAAAGCTCTTCCAGCCATCACTCGTACCAGCTCTGTGAACTGTCTCTATCACCATGAAAAGGCAAAACTACAGGCAGACAAAGATCACAGAGTCAACACCTGAGAAGGAGACAGACCTAAACAGTCTTCCTGAAAAAGAATTCAAAATAAAAATCATGAACATGCTGACGGAGATGCAGAGAAAAATGCAAGAGCAATGGGATGAAGTCCGGAGGGAGATCACAGATGGCAGGAAGAAGAACAGAAGTGAAACAAACCTTAGAAGGATTTATAAGCAGAATGGATAAGATGCAAGAGGCCATTGAAGAAATAGAAACCAGAGAACAGGAACGTATAGAAGCTGACATAGAGAGAGATAAAAGGATCTCCAGGAATGAAACAATACTAAGATAACTATGTGAGCAATCCAAAAGGAACAATATCCGTATTATAGGAGTACCAGAAGAAGAAGAGAGAGGAAAAGGGATAGAAAGTATCTTTGAAGAAATAATTGCTGAAAACTTCCCCAAACTGGGGGAGGAAATAATTGAACATACCATGAAAATACACAGAACCCCAAACAGAAAGGATACAAGGAGGACAACACCAAGACACATAATAATTAAAATGGCAAGGATCAAGGACAAGGAAAGAGTTTTGAAGACAGATAGAGAGAAAAAGGTCACCTATAAAGGAAAACCCATCAGGCTATCATCAGACTTCTCGACAGAAACCCTAGAGGCCAGAAGAGAATGGAATGACATATTTAATACACTGAAACAGAAGGTCCTTGAACCAAGGATACTGTATCCAGCATGACTATCATTT